CCGTGGGCTGTACATTGCTCATCAGATTGTCCTCCAGAATTTGCTGCTTGATATCGTCCATGGTGCCTTGCTTCGTTCGCACAGCCTATGGTCTCGCGGTCAATCAATTTGCATGAAACAATGTAAACTGAAATTACTGAAACCAATTGACTGGCAACCATACCATCATTAAATCTGCGAATTGTTTGTACCATCCCATACGCTGGCTGGCAGTGGTTCGATAGTCCGGGTGGTGAGGTATAATATTGATGGTAATCTCGGAAGCACGAAGATACTGCACATAAGCTTTATCTGGTTGGTCGTCATCTGCAAAGTTCCTGGCCTGCTGTATTGCGTCTTGGGCCCTGCTGAGGAGGACGCTAAGCTGCAGAAAGTTAGCGAACGGGCTTGGTCAAGTATTTCCAATATCCTGGAGGACATACTGATGAATTTTCATTGACATCGAGAGCTGCAGCTTGGTCTTGAAGGTCCTTAATATTAGGAAATCGCGGAGGCTGATACCCGCTTGGAGGGGTATGATTGCTGCTCAAAAGCGAACCTGGTCGATTGATTTGACTTCCAGGACAACTGGTATTTTCCCAAGGCGCTAAGCCCGGTGGAGAGGACAAAGCCGCTGCATCTGAGGACATTATACAACGATTCGGAACAGCATTTCATTTGGTGCGTAACCAAGGGCGCTTCGAAACGCTCGACGGAGGGGCGTAGAGGAGATTCGGTGTCAATCTTCGGAGGCGGTAACTTGGCTCTGAGACACGTAAACGCAATAATCGGTCACAACAACAAAAAGTCAGGTTCCAAACAAGAGAAAGAGAGTGGCGTGAAAGAGTGGATATGATACTGGGCGAAAATTGTACAGTTGGGAAATTAGCAAACCCTGAAGAAGAGAATCTCCCCCGAAGAAGGCAGACGGATTGCGGGATGTTTCTGGGGTAAAATCTTGTACGTACGGATACTGATTCCTGAACTTACAATGAGAAGAAAAAGGCGGCACAAATAACGGGTTTGATACTCACCGCCCGCAACTATGACGCCACCTGCGTATGATTCGCTGAGTCAGCGGGTGCCTTACCTAAGAAAGCTCCATAGGCCCGTCACTTACTCCGTTAGGCAAGTTGGTGCCTTCGTACTTCAGTCAATATCTATCGATTGTATCATCTCTTCCCCTCCCAGACTTCATATCTCTTCATAACATCTCCTCAAAGGCAAAACGGGACCATATCCCTCCTGAAGCCTCCCCAGCATCAAGTTCTACGACAACGAGTCCCGTCCCTCCATCTGACGCCGCTACCCAACGTCATACCTACGGTACCTACTCTTCGCCTTGCCATCCTTAGACCGAACCAATTGCGCTTCTGTGATATTATTACCGTCAGCATGGCGGGCTGGTTCTCTTCGTCTTCTACGATTGATGATCAGGTGGAAAAGGCCACTTCGTCTTCTTTGTATGTTGCGCGACATTTTCGTCACCCTTTGGATTGGTTATCGACCCATTAAGCCGACCGAATCCCGGTTCTAACCAGTACACTAGGGAAGACATTGCCCTCAACCTAGAGATTTCAGATCTCATCCGATCAAAGAGTGTTCAGCCTAGAGAGGCGATGAGGTCTCTGAAACGACGATTGGAAAACAAAAATCCGAATGTGCAGCTGGCGACATTGATGGTTAGCTCCCCTGCATCACTCTCGGGGCGCTCGTTTGCTTTACGTGTCTACTAACGTGGTCTATACTATAGTTGACAGATACATGCGTCAAGAATGGTGGAACACATTTTCTCGCCGAAATCGCATCTCGCGAATTCATGGATAACCTCGTTTCTCTTTTGAAAGCAGAAGGTGCCCCGCTCAATATAGAGGTAACAGAGAAGATGTTGGAATTGATCCAGGACTGGGCGATGGCAGCCCAGGGCCGAATGGACTTGAGTTATGTCGGCGACACATATCGGAGCCTGCAGGATGAGGGGTTTCGATTTCCGCCAAAGACTCAAATCAGCGGGAGCATGCTTGAGAGTAGGGCGGTAAGTGCGATCTTCAGCTACAGTGACCTTGACCTCGTTAACATTAGTCGCGCATGAAAGCCCCCAGAATGGATTGACTCGGACGTTTGCATGCGCTGCCGTACACCATTCAGTTTTATGAACCGTAAACATCACTGCCGAAACTGCGGTAACGTGTTCGATGCCCAGTGCTCTAGCAAAAACCTTCCTTTGCCTCATCTGGGAATATTACAGCCTGTCCGCGTTGACGATGGGTGCTATGCGAAGCTAACCTCAAAACCCTTCGCATCATCTGGATTTTCAGACCGATCCGCCTTTAAGAACAACTCTATCACAAAGTCTACCGTCATGGAACCCCGCACAGCGCGGGCTGAGGGTGGTTTTGATGATGACTTACGTCTGGCTTTGCAGATGAGTCTAGAGGAGGCACAGGGTAGAGGATCTACTGGTTACGTCTCACAGCCGAAGGCTGCCCAGCAGCCGCCTAAGGTATCCAATCAATCGAGGATCGAAGAGGAGGAGGATGCGGATCTAAAGGCTGCCATTGAGGCATCCCTACGCGACATGGAACAACACAAGCAGAAGCATGCAGCTGCTCTAAAAAACACCACGACCGTCGAACCCTCCTCAACCCGAGACACCCCAGGCGCGACACCATTACCCAAGAATCCTTACGAGCTCAGCCCTGTCGAAGTTGAGAATATTCATCTTTTTGCCACGCTTGTTGACCGATTACAACACCAACCCCCAGGTACTATCCTCCGTGAACCTCAGATCCAGGAGTTGTATGAAAGTATCGGCACGCTTCGACCGAAATTGGCTCGAAGCTATGGTGAAACTATGAGCAAACATGGTATGGCCCTGTTCAACATCTGTAGCTTACTAGTATTGACTGTGGGCATGTAGATACTCTCCTTGATCTCCATGCTAAATTATCTACGGTCGTCCGGTATTACGATCGCATGCTAGAGGAACGTCTCTCTAGTGCGTACTCACAACATTCACTAGGATATGGATCCGTTCCCGGAGGCTCACGGTACTCAAACGTCTACCCTCCGATGCCGTCACATGCACCTGAAGGGAAGACTGGAGTTGAGAATTTCTACTATGGAAATTCAAGTGCGGAAATGCCACCTAATGCTGGGACTCCGTACGCCCCACCGGATGGGGAAGGGTTTGAGAGAGCCGGAATGCACGCTGGCGGCATGAGTCCCGGCATGTACTCGCAACCCACTCAGGCCATGCCGCAGAACCCACCCTGGAATGGAAACGCACAGGTTGCATCCCCCCAGATCTCAGCCGCCAATACACCTTTCCCTCAAAGCCCCTCGGCTTATCCCGTCCCACCCGTACCGACACAATTCTATACAGCACCTACTCCGCCCGAACAAGATGCGAACCCGTATCAATCTCCCTGGCAAGGTGAGGTGGACACCCCATATATGCCATCGCCTGTGACACAGCGCGACTCCCAGTACCAATCAGCAGGACATGCCAGCGCTCCAGCACCGAGCGTGCCCGAGCAGCCACCATCGGCCGAGCAAATGCCGTCTCCTGCATATCTACAGCTGTCAGAGCCTCGCCCCATGCAACCAGTCAACCAGCCTGTACTTCACCGCCAGCCCACCGACCCCTCGACTCACTCCTATTACTATCAGCAACAGCCTCCGCCAGGGCACTCTCATCCTACGTACCCCCAAGGTCCACCAGTGCATCATAGTACGTACCCTGTCAGCAATGCCTCTCTGGCAAGCGGACCTGCTCCGCCAACACAATATCAACAACCACCACCATCTCGGCCAGCAGTTGAGGAGAGTTTGATTGAATTGTAAGGTATAGTTGTTTTCCGGCTCTGGGTCATGAGAAATGGGCTTTTATATTATTTTGCTATAAATGAATATCCCTTTTTGTGACAATGATGATACCAGTTGTTTTGGTTGTTAGCAGACCTCGAAATTGTATTGCAGTCCTTACTCTCTTCTGGAGGGGCAGATCACTCACTTGCTTGCATGTACACTAGTCGAACGGAGCATACAAGTACTTCATTTGTGGGGGTGACCGCTGGGAAAGCTTTCTTCTCCGACCTGATTGACGGAGGAATCCGAACCAGAGCGACTCTACAGTTATACTCACGTCTCGGAAGAGCATCCCCACATCGCTCTTCCAGCTTGGTATCGGATATTCAAGGGGTCAATTACCTTTTCTTCGACGGAGATGACATGGCTGTCATGGCCGTCATAGCCAACGAGTCGAAGTAGAGAGACACAATAGTAAAAGCATCCCTGCTCGATTGCGACCCAGGGCTCCATGCATGATGTGACTGGTTAGTGGTTTCAATTACAACCGTAAGAACCACTATCTCTGGCTCTAATCTCTCTAGGCTTCGCGAATTCAATGTCATCGTCGGCTGTGCTGGAGAAGACGTGCATCTTCTATCTTTAAGCAACCCCGGAAGACGATTTTTAGTCCGATGTCTAGTCTTGGAAATGGGATCTTATTGTATAAGGCTGTCGACTAGTGTTTTGTATGTCGCTTATAGATGTGAGCTCACTATCGACGAGTAAGGAAAGTCGCCGACGCAAGTCTGTCGATAACATCTTGGGTATCGAGGTAGTCGATGAAAGAGAAAATGGCGTCGAGATAGACCAGCCGAATTTGATGGACTGTCTAGGGCTGCTGAGATTCGTCTACTTTAGTGGTCGAGTTTCAAGGCATGCCATTCATAGTTTTGACGAGACTTTGTCTCTCGAGGTTTCGCTTGAAGCTGCGAATAAAGTCGATTCTGGCTGGTTTTCAGCCTGGTTTGTATATCACTGTAAAGAGTGCAGATGCTTGATTCAAACTGTATCGCCGAGAGATTGGAGAGGATTGACTGAATATTGTCTGAGTCCTCTATGGTTATTGATACGAAGGTAGGGTTAATACTTCTATTTTGAGCAATCAAATCTGGAGGGAAAGGAAAGAAGGAAAGAAAATAAGGCCTTGAAAGAAAAAGAAAAAGAAAGGTCGTGCCCGGGTTCGAACCGGGGATTGAAGAACTTTTGATGGTATCAACTGGAAAGGTCATGTTAGTTTAGGTCTGGAGGTGATGAGAACCAATGGGAGTGAACATACAATCTTCCGTGCTAACCACTACACTACACAACCGTAGTTGAATAATTGGGCCATAAAGTTGTAAATAGATCAACAATTCTATATTTTCTTCTATTCAACACTCCCCTCCTGTCTTTGTTCTAAACACCGACCATTTCTTGTTATAGATGAATTGAAGGGTACACGAGAACAATATGTCGCTGTATTCTGTCCCTCCCGTATCTAGATATTCAAACTTCAGTCTTGTACGGGTTCAGCTATCGAAAACAGAGAAATAACTAGGACCCGTACATCAACAGAAACTATTTAACAGTGTTCTCCCCCACCCTTCATACAATATTGATCAAACCAGTCAGCTTATTTTTCACTCTCAACTAAATCAAGAACAGCTGATTTTCCCAGGTGTGATCATAGCACAGCACCTAGTCAAAGCCACTTTCAATATTTCATTGTTAGGGGATATACCGACGATGAGGGTGATTATGTTTCCAGCAAAAGGAAAGCCCAAGGCAACCTATCTTGGGTAATCCCACGATGCTCATCATGACTTGTATCTTCGTAAGTTCCTTGGGACCGGCGGTAAATGCCATCTCGGATCGGGTTGAAAGACATTGCGATGGATTGTTTGATATTGAAGCACCGTGTCAAGGCATAATACGTTGGTATTACTGTACCCTACACATTTATTAGCTACTAGCCTGCAATATCAAGTGATGTTGAACTCCGTTCGGGAGACAATAGCAACTAGAAAACAAGCCAGTAATAGTCGGTCCGGCATAGGTGCTGTACCCCCTCGTGGAGGAAATTCAAGTCCAGCTCAGTGACAACTAGATAGATCATTCACAGCGGTAGCACGGCTAGGGTTCCATGCGCAATACATCGTCCAGCTCATTGTACTCGACCAATCATATTTGAAAACCGTCCAAGCGGGTAGTAAGTAGCCTTCATGTCCGCTTTGACGCCGTGAAAATGAATAGTACGACCACAAGCAATTAAATGGGATACGACGGATATTTTCCGTTTCTGGTAAATGGTACCGTTCTCCAGGCTGACTTGCCAGGAAATCCATTGCTCTTAATTGGATTGATATCAACATAATTACCCGATGTGTACGGAGTACGGAGTAAATGACACTTCAAATGAGATGTACCTGATAAAACACAAGAGAAGAAAGAAGAAAAAATAAAAAAGAAAGGTCGTGCCCGGGTTCGAACCGGGGATTGAAGAAATTTCTGATGGAATCAACTGGGAGGTATGTTAGCTTTAGTGTAGGAATTGGGTGGATCAGATGAACGTACAATCTTCCGTGCTAACCACTACACTACACAACCATTTTTGGGCGAGAGAGCCAATTTCAAATTGACCCAAGACCTAAAAGATATGCACTTCTTTTTTAACCCCATCCAAAATTTGAACTGAGCATATTTCTCATTTGGAGAATCTATTTACTACAACCTTGACAAAACCACTGAATAATACTATTTTATTCTCAACTAGAATAAATTGCTTGAAGTTATATCAGATCTTCATCTCTGCAAACACTGCCATAGAATCTTAAATTGAAAGTCAGCCATATGTTAGAACTCCCCGTGGGGCGTCGGATATATAAATTAGTATCGCCCCTCAATCTTATACTACTTTGTTTTGCTCGCAATACTACTGTAATTTATCATTTCGATCCTCAATCTCCTGTTTAGTAATTGAATCCCGAACAGCTTCAAACAGGGTGGCAAATGGTGAGGTCCAGGATTTAATTAAGCTCCACACTGTATACATTACACGGATGGACTGACTCTCCGTGACCGAATACATAGTGTACTAATTTATAAACACAGTACGGACTCAGCTCTGCACTCTACTGCGGAAGGCCGGGAGACCTTCTACCAACCCTAGCCTACCGCTACCCCCTACCTGCTACTCGCAATCAGACTACTGGGGTACAGTTATATCATAAATCCAACCAAAAGGAAATTGCGAACCGACAAACCACGCAGTCCGCCATGGCTTCGTTTATGCCTCCATACCAACTAAAACTGGTAGCACTGTCCAATTGCGACACTGTCAAAGAAAACGAGCGTACAATGGATTGCATCTTCAACTGTCAATTTGATCCAAGATAATCGTTGGCTGATGATACACGCCCGTAGGGTATCTTTACCGACTGGACAACCTAGATTTATGACGACAAGTTAGCCCATGTCTACATCTATACTATATGCAAAGTCGTCAAACCCCTCGACGAAGCCACCCGAGCCATCGACTAGGAGAGAATGGCAACGCAACTCCAATCAGCCGTGAATGAAAACACAACCATTGTGGTCATCAAAAACGGAGTCGGCAACGAGGAACCAGCTAGATTGGCATTTCCCCATGTCCTCAATCATGGCTCGTGTAGTATTTCCCTGACTAGTGATATGACCCGAACTATCTGGTACTTAGGAATAAAGACATGAGTAGAAGTGACGCAAACGACACCAGGGACTATCGAACACTCCAAACCAGAAGATTTGCAAATTGACCTCTCTCATATGAATGCATTGGTAGATGGGTCACTCGAGCAGACTCGACTGAACACGCTCGCCTCTCTATTACTACGCCTTTCTGCCCCTGCATCGGCCCGGGATGAATCACGCATGTTGCCAACGAGACAGACCAACAACGTTCACGCTAATTCTGCATAGACCGTGGAAGTTCATAGTGTACTGAATATGTAGATCTGCGGTGGTATCATCACGGGAAAGTGCGAGGAACTATTCACATCCTCAGATTTTGCTGCTTGAGATGCCCCCCATACATATAGGCATACATCTTCACGGTATCTACTCCGTAACTGATCATAATATACTCTGTACGGAGTACAATGATCATCAACAAAACCACCGACTTGATTAGTAAGGAAAGGAGAAATGGCCAAAATGGAATGAATGGAAAAGTTCCGCGTCAAGCCACAGTGGCTTTTCGTCAAAGCCACGGATGAATAGGGCTGGTTTGGATGAGACGAGGGCAGTTTTAGAAAAATAGCCACAGTGGAGGAGGTGTTGGAAGAGATCTTGGCGACTTGCGCTTGTTGATGTCGAACTTTGTTATTCAGGAAGCGGGGAATCTTTGATTGAAGTAGATACTGGCCTATCAGTGTACATACTTCGGGAGTATACGTACTACCTGGTGGCTTACGAGTACCATGGTACTACTATCTACTATAGTACTACTTAGTACGGAGTAGGTACTCCGTACGGAGTACTATTCTAGTAGTAGTGAGCTCTGTACAGTCATCAATGATGGAAGTTCCAAGATGATCGTCAGATCGGTTGATTACGTTGTGTTTCTGGAAATGATTCCAACCTCCTACACCTAATGTTCGTTCTCTTCAGACCTCCATTCGATATGGATCTTTCCCTGCACCTATATGTACGATGACGTAAAAGGATCGACTCTGATGAAGGGAATATGCAAAGAAGATATCATAACCAGACCGACCCCATCTCGCCACCGATGAGTTTGGCAGCAGTTCTGGGACTACACTTAGTGTCTCCAATCCCAAAAATATAAACGACTTGAATTGCGATTCTTTGGAGCTGCTGAGATCCACCCCCAATGCGGTCTAGACCCCGGGAAAGTAATGCGTAACGGTAATACTAATACTAACGTAATACTAATACCCAATCCCATTCCCCAATTTGTTCATTCCTTTCTTCTCTTTTCCTTCAACATCAACTCCTTTCCTTTCTTTCTTTTCTTCTTGAATCGGATCTCTTTCTTTCGCCGGATTCGATCTGCTTATTTAAACTTCTTCCGGGGTTAGAAGCAGATCTCAGCCTTCTTTTTATCCTCTTCAAGTGTCCCCTCTCCCCTCCGATCACCTTCATCCCTTTCCCTTACATTTCTCATAATAATAATATTTTTTTTTTTTTTTTTTCTTTTTTCCCTCCTTAAAAACTACTCCGTACTGCACAATTTAAATCACCTCGGGTGTAACGAACGAACTTCAACTTCCTCCACCAATTGCCTGTCTGCGCTCCCCGCGCTCTTGGGGGGGGGGAATAGCGCTCACACAGCAGCACTCAAGTCTTTTGCTTTTTCTTTTTTTCTTTTTTCTCTTTTTTTCTTTTCTCTCTCTTTTTTTTTTTATAACTCTTTTCCTTACTTGTCTACCGGCGATTTTCTCCGCAAGGACCTCCTGTTGTGCCACCTGATTTGCAACTGTGAGAACTTGATCTCTCATTCGGCGCAGGACATCTTTCTCGTGTCCCTTACCGCCATGCCGACTTCTACCACTTCGTCCCCGGTCAAGCGCCCCGGTCTAGGTCGTCGCGCAGTCTCCTCACAGGCTGTTGTCACGCGATCGACATCCGCCCAAAGCGAACTGGCCAACTCTAACACCTCCTACCACCAAAAGCCCTCTCACCGGCGTGCTCATATCGTTGGCGGCCATCGCAACCACCATCGGAATCCCTCCTTCGGCAAAAATCTAAATAAACTGCAGAGGCATCTTTCTCAGCAGCAGATCGACACCGGTCGCCATCATCAGCGCAAGAAGTCCGCCCCTGCGACCCCCGCTGCTGCAACGCCCGCCGCGAGTCCGCGTGGGCAACACCACGTCCGCTGGGATGGAGCATTGGGTGGAAGTCACCAAACCACCACTTCTATGAAAAAGAATTTCTCGACCCCGGTTCTTCGGCGAAACAGCAGCAGCGTCGTAGCCAAGGTTGGAAAAAAGGCCTTGGTCACCGATCGTCCACAGACCAGTTCGGGCAAAAAGAAAACTGTGGGGTTCGAACTAGCCGACTCAGACGACAACGACGACGGGGAGTGGGAGGATACCACTCAGTCACCGGAGAGTACGAGGCGCAGCTCCGTCGCTCAATCCAAAGACAGTGTGGAGAATACTGCAGTATTAGTGGATCCGTTGACATTCGTTAAGCGCGCTTATCCACAGTTCCCTCGGTCGACCAGCCTTCCGGAGTCGAGTCTGAATAATTTTGGTCCCAACAACCCTTCGTCCAACGGTGATAGTGACGGTGAGCGGGAAGGTGGAGGCGATCAACAAAGGCATCCATCAGATTCCGACGAGCGTGAAGAAGGTAGCCGCGCTGTTGACCACGGTGACATTGCATCTCGTCTGCTCAGCCCATCCCACTCTGCCAAAGCGCCGCCCGCCATGTCCTCGATCTCCGCCACAGCAAAACCGGCTACGGTGGATTCAATGTCACGCAATGCGTCTCTGACCAATATCGCTGCCGGACACGATAGCTTACGCCGTCCACTATCCTCGTCTCAGAGTGCATTAGCCCATACCCCAGGAAATCTGACGCAGGCCACATCGTCTTCGATCGAAGGAGGCGTGTCGAGGTTCATCAAGACTGGTTTCCACCCAACTTCTCGCACTGATTCCGATCCCAACACCCCCTCTTCATTCTTACCTCATTATCACCCACAAACCCCGCCCTCCCCTGGTCGTGGAGCCAGTTCGAAGACACCGCGGGCGTCTCCTCCCTCCCGGCCGCCCGGAGCAGAACCACACTCCCGCACTCAGCAAAAGCTGTGGTTGCAACGGACTGCCGCTCTGAACACTTCCCCCCCGGATGGTCATGGCGTATCAGCGACCGCATCCCCATCGACGATGGACCCAGCCTTTATGGCCGCAGCTCACGCCCGACCAGGGACCGGATTCGATGTGGGGAGAGGATTCGTCAATGGAGCGTCGCGGACCGGCCCTGCGCACGATACCGAAGCAAAGCATATCCGCAAGGCATACGAGAAGACCGCTTTGGAACTTACCGTGGTCCGAAGGTTTCAGTCACCTACTGGGGATAGTTTCCGTCGGTTGACGTCCTTTGTCACCGATATGACACTGGGCCCCGCCCGCCAGCGACGTTCGGCCCTCGGCAAACCAATCAAGTCAGCCCCAGCCTTGACGCTGCTCCAAAACGGCAAACAGCAACCGTCCGCTCAGTCTAGTGCAGGCCCGGAGCCGAGACAACTGGTTAGCCGGAAGCGCTCGGGCCTGAAAATTTCCGCCTCCCAGTCGTATCTCCAAGAACCTGACGATCTCGCGAATGAATCGGCTGATTCCTCACAACGACCCAAGTCCCAACATCCTTCCCACCGCATCCTCTCCACATCCGATGAAGCCACCCATCCACCTTCCGTAGGGGAAGACTACCCAGAAGAGCCGTCATTCATGGCCAACGAAGCCGAGATGATGGTTCGTCGTATGTGGGAAAGTCGCGAGGTGGCCACCGCTGGCTGATGTACAACAACAACTACAACCTTGCTTATGTCTTCATGTCGTTATCTTACTCATGTCTTTCAATACTGGGTCCTTTC